TAAAAAAGATAATTTACCTAATAAATACCTCTGCCATGAATTTTCTTTTAATAAAATTAAAATAAACAAATAAAGAAACAATTAAACATCTCAATAATGCTGAAATAACGCGTTAAGTTTAAAGTTGAGGAAAACTTGAGTTAAAGAGGGGGACTTATAAAAATACAGTCGTTAAAAATTTAAAGAGATCAGCTTTTTGGAGGAAAAACTTTGACAATTAAGGAGAATGAGTCGTTAGTGCCGACGCGACGCGCGCACTCGCACACACTACTGCAGCGAGACAAGACCGTCTTGCGTTACTTTGTATCGTTTATTCTCTATCTGGACCTTTATGTACCGCAGAATTTCAGAAAAAGCATATTTTTTAGCCTATTTATTGAGGAAGATGATCTTACATGCTACGATTCTTAGAAGTGGAGTAATTAGCCATAAAGTACATATGCTAGTCTATAATATATCTATAGAAATATTTTTTATAGAAGCAGCGTAAACTTTGAAATTGTAAGTTTCCTTTTTGTTTTGAAATTAAAAGTTACGCCATTATAAAATAGAATTTATTTAATTTATTTATGTGTTAGGAATGACGATATCTGAAAAACATATTTTAGGCTATTTTTATTGATTTATCGTCTAATTAGAGTCGACACCAGAAGATAATAAATTTTAAAAACTATTAAGTAAATAAAAGGAATATTCTATATGCATTTACTTGTCAGTATTCATTTTATATATATATATATATATATATATATATATATATATATATATATATATATTATAAGACTAATCGTCCGTGTGCACACTTCAGTCGTCTTTAATTGTTACTGTCCGAAAGCTCCACCGCGGCTCCCTGACGAGAGCGAGTTGAAACAATTTTACAAATGAATTTCTACAAATTCAAAAATATGCTGATACTATGTAAAAAGTTAAATTGAAAAATAGGGCCGCCGCATCTACCAACTTTCACAACGAATTGCTGTGTACATATAATCATTTATTGTTTAAGTCTCGAAAGTATATGCTATTGTAACTTATATATTTACCTCGTTATGATTTTTATTTAGCGTCCAAATAAATAATATATTTGCTTTAAGTAAGATATAAATAATCTGTATATTATGCAGAAATCTATACTAATATTATAAAGAGGCAGAGTTTGTTTGTTTGTTTGTTTGTTTGTTTGTTTGTTTGTTTGTTTGTTTGTTTGTTTGTTTGTTTGTTTGAACGCGCTAATGTCAGGAGCTACTAATCCGATTTGAAAAATTCTTTTTGCTATATATCATATAATATAAAGTCTATCTATTCCATACTAACCATTGAAACGTACCTAAAGACCAACCCGAAAGAATCAAGGATGAGTCGCTAGTATTATATAAAGCTTGAGACAATTAAAATGTACAGAAAAACAAATTAATTTTCAATGTACAAATAACACATGACACTCTCACATTTTATTTTGTACTGTAATAAAGCAATATTTCAAGTAGCTCTAAACGATATAATAAGTTGTCAGTAACATACTCCGCGAAGGGTTCCGTGATTTATTTCTACTGGAAATTAAAAAGCTTTGCCGCTAAAAGCTTCAGTCTCGTTCACGAACGAAGCGGTTTGTTAACTTTTAACTCTATATTATTATTATTAAAAGTGTTAAAAAATGCAAACTTTTGTATTGTTTCAAACAATTGTAAAGTAATATATCAGGATAATTATTAGGGAAATATTTATAATTTATATATTTCTAAAATTATTTTTTATAATATAATATATAAAATCTGTACATATTATAAAGTAAAGTCTGAATGCAATAACCTCAAAAACTATCGAACGGATTCATATATATATTATATTCATACGGTTTTCACCAATAGATGGTATAATTTATGAGAAAGGTTTAAGTGTATAATTAATTAAGGTTTTGTGTAAATTGGCTGAAATGTGACAATGATTGTTGAAGAAGTCGGAAAAATCATGCCGACTGGGAGCTTTATTGGCTTGCGCCGCGTAAACTAATAAAATTATATGAAAACAATGTACTACAGAATTATTCCTCTTAAAAAGATCTTCGCATTGAACTGTAGCAAAGCTATATTCACGTACCTAGGGATGCACCCGAGGGAAGTGAGGGTAAGTCACTAGTATAAAATAAGTTCCAGATAAGGCATCGAACGTGGCTTACTTATTAAAATACTATCATTAAATAATTACTAATTATTAAAATAAAATTTGATAAAACTACATTTATTTGATACTAGCATTGCCCGCGGCTCCGCCCACGTTCAGATAACCAAAAAGCAAATTCTTAGTTTTTCATATTAGTATACTCTTACAATGCAGTTTTTGTATTTTTTCTCAGAAATGAGATATTTTCCTGCGGTAAAAAGTATCCTATATGTTGACCTGGATAACCAGCTATCATCATACCAAATTTCATCAAAATCTGTCCAGTGGTTTTCTCGTGATGCGGTAACAGATAGACAGACAGACAGACAAAAATTCTAAAAACTATAGATTCGGACTCTGTATCGATAATAATGTCTATTTCAATTAGCTTTTCCAAAAAAGATTTAATGTACAGATTCGACTTAGTTACAAGTTTATTATATGTATAGATAAGTTTTAAATAATCGAGTTTTATTTTAACAAATAAACCCGTAACTTTCACTACGCGAGCTGGGCTGTATTACAATAAGATAAATCAAATCATTAACATTTGTCTCAAACGTATTGCCATATTAGCTCGGCTCTTATACTCGTGTACCGATTCACACATTCATTTGATGAAGACGTCAATTATAACTACATAATATTAAATAATATGTACCAGCTTGGTCAGAAATCGCAAGTTTAGCATCTACTTGATTTTAATATATTCAGGTTCGAGTGGTTGGACTGACTACAATTAGACTTTTTTATGTAAGTTATTTATTTGTTTATAGCTGTATTCACCATAAATAAAGCTATTTCTTTTTCTAAATTGCAGACTCCGTTTTTGTTTGGCAGTTTTAATGTAACGAAAAGTATTATTTCCCATACAAATTAGACCATCCGCTTTCATTCTTATAGGAAAAAAATGATGATTACTAAGTCTTTATCTATATAGTTTTAGTCCGTTTGATATAATATGTAGTTTGATCTGGGTAACACAAATTAGTCTAGAAAAGATATTTTATACACTCGTAAAGATTGCTTAACTCGCCCTGGCTTCACTAGAGTGGATCTCTATGTGTCTAACCAAGTATCTAGTACCTAGCCTACGCATAACTCCAGGTACACAATCTTTTTTTTATGTTGGGACATTAACACACAGCACCATCTAGTTCCATGGTAAGCTACGAGGCTTGTGTTATGGATACCAGATAGTTGATACACTACACGTATATAACTTTAAATACATACATATTATAAATATCTGTATATAGTGAATTTCATCCAAATCCAACCAGCCGTCGGAGCGTGAAAGTGTTACAAACATACACAAATACGCACATTTATAATATACATATATAATATAATATGTAGTAGCCCAATAAATAACAACATACAAACATATAAATACGAACAATTTAAACGAAAGTTCATTTTGTTTACATAAAGATAAAGCGCGGTGTTAACATCTGCATCTAACGAATAGCTGGATAAGCTCGGCTAAGGAATGAAACAATTTTTACACTTCACAGCTACCATTATTTATTTTTGTACTCCAAGGGACGGCGGTAATAGGATTTAGGGTAACGAAGCTCTTTTGCATTTCCCGTGTTTTTAGAAACAAAGTACGAGCGTCAATGGTTTAGATTTATGCATCGTTGCATACATATTGTAGTCTTTATAACTTTTACTTGTACATATAAATAATAATACATAATAAATATATTGAGACATTCATACACAGCACCATCTAGTTCCATGGTAAGCTACGAGACTTGTGTTATGGATACCAGATAGCTGATACACTACATATGTATAACTTTAAATACATACATATTATAAATATAAACACCCATGACTGGAGTACAAACATTCGTGCTCATCACACAAATGAATGCACCTAGCGGGACTCGAACCCGCGACAGCTGGTACAATAAGTAGGGTCACTACAAACGGAGCTAAACGTGTCGTCAAAATATGTGATATACATATTACATACTAATAATAACATACAATTTAAAGTAAAGTAGGTTTTTGTTTTAGTTATGAATTTTTGCAAGTGCATGTATGTAGTTCGGGTAAACGATACAGTAATTTGCTTCTAATTAGGTGATCTGACGTAGATAAAAGAAGTCTTCCGTAGAGAGTCCCTCTTGAGTACTCCCACATTTTTCAAAAGAAACAACTAAGGGAATGGTTAGTTTTAAGAAATTTTGACGTTGATGTACTTTTTTTTAGTATGTAATTATTATATTTTTATTTGGAATGGAATTAATAGATTTTTCATCATTAATATATAAAACACACATACACATTTCCTAACAAATATCTCTTGAAAAAGTGACGTCGACATGTGACGTTAAATCAAACCAAAGAATAAAATTCAAAAATCAAAAGTTCTAAATATCTAAACACAAATTCAAACTTACATCACATAAAGTATTTTATAAGCGAAACTACGTGCGTTTTAATTTTGTCATCCGAAAAGCAATGAACAAAAGAGATTTAAAAAAAAACGCAATAAATTTCGAATCATGCACTTCTTTTTGAGGACACTTTTGAGACGTTAATTGTATGTATATCTTGACATATTATATTATATATGTATAGTCTCAAGTAAATAATCTAGGTAGTTCTACGTAGTAGTACTGAGAACAGTTAGTAGTAGCTGTCAAGTCGTAAAGCATTTAAATGATCTTAATAGACTATTAGACATATGCAGCGATTATAGGAACCCAGGGGCCTGTTCTTACGGAACCACCTCATTAACTTTTTACTGCAGTGATTAGTTCGCGGAAGCCGAGCGTTTACTTTGTTCATACTGAGCCGATTAGTGAAACGGATTTATAATGTCAATTTATCTACATTAATTATAATTTTAAATTTATTATATTATACTGTGGGATTCAGAAATATAACCTTAAGACAAATAATCTAATCATTTAGAGGAGTATGGTGGTGATGGAATTAGTAAATACTAAATAGAATGGTAATATAAGTACCTAAGCAAGATGGTAAACCTAATATAATTAAATAAGACGTATGTATGCATTCAGCTCCTTTTAATGTCCCATTGCTGGGTATGAGCCTCTCTTTAATGCGAGGAGGATCAGGCTATATTAAAGTAAATAAGGTGGTAAAAGCTAAACTCACCCGATCGCACGGCGCCGGCGCATGTAGCTGCCGCGCCTGTCCCCTGCCCAGCGCCTCGCGTTTCCTCTGCGCACTGAACAGCCGTAGCTCCTTGCGCTCCTCGTCTGACAGCGCGTGGCAGTATCGGACCTGGAATGATGACCATCCATCTTACAAACAGTTTTTGACTAGATTGATAAGTTTTATAAGTAGAAGTTAACCAAGAGAGTCTATTATAATTTTGTATATATAGCTTAATATTCAGATATTTTAGTTTTGATTTTAAAATCCCATAAATTACAGACATGCACTTCAATTCAATCTTTATATAAAGATCCAATTTTCATGTGTTTCTTCTTCTCTTAAACGGCTTTTTTGATTTTTATATTATTGCTATAAATGTATAAGCAATGAATGAATAAATTTATATGCCATTTTGATAGTTTAAGTCAACAGTGAATGTACCTCATTATCCTGCGGGGGTAGCTGTTGCAGCAGCTGCTTGAGCCGGTAGCGCTCGCCCACGCTGTTCACGTACGGCACCTTGTCCTCCGGCAGCGCGGAGAAGTACAGGTGGACCTGGAAAAGTTCATTCATTTTTTACATTAATTATTATGTGATTTTGTACTAAATATAAGTACTTATAATTTTGCCAATGTACTGTTATCCTACTGGATTTATATCAAGTTTATAATATATATACATTATATTATTAAAATATGTACTATATAGTACTTTACGGTCCATGAAATGTTGCTAATGTAGCTGTAGTGATGCTATTATTTTTGATAGACTTCAAAAAAATCCTGTATCGTATGTATATCTTATGTACCATAAATAAAAAAAAAACCTTTTCATATTTACGGGTGATTTTTTTTAAGAGATTTTGTTAAATAAACATTGTTAGTACCTATAAGATATTAGACAAGTACAAAAAGATGCTTATCGATGCAATATCGCTAAATATATTATAGCGTAGACATTTTTTATTCTTGTCTATTTCTGCTTTCAATACTAAATCTTAAAAGATTGTAAAATACATTTACAAGATAATGCTGATCCAGGATTTGTATATAAATATTTTGCTTGTAACCTACCTACTGTTGTTACCCAATCAAACAGTATTTGCGCAAACTAACGCGCACATTGTGTTTAAGCAAATTGCTTTATCAGTACAAAATATAGAGTCAGCACTCCTTTTTTGTGTAGTACTTTTCTTATAATTCAAAACTCTGAACAAGGGCCTTAAATTAAAACATAATTATATTTTAGATGGTCGTCTGGTGCGGAGTTAGATGTGTCTGTAAGGGCGTGAGTGTTAGGTTCGTGTCTGTCATAAGGATTGACATTCACGGTCATTGAAATTTTTTTTAGCATTTAATTATTATTACTTAACCTCTGTCTTCTCAATTCTACGTGACATTGGCGAAGTAATTTGTTCTCAACTGATACGCTTTGAAGCCATTAATAAGAGAATTGAATTGAATTACTTGACCTCATCAGTCTACTACCGGTTCCGGAAGAAAATGCGTTAGTCCTGAGAAGGACTGGCGAAAGAAACTCAGTGGGACTAAAGTACTGCTTTTTAATAATAGTAATATAAATTCACTTTTTAAATCCATCCTAAAATTCGTTATGTCATTTATCCCTTTCAGGTGTCATGTTTTCTGCAAAGTATTTGAATCGTTGGGGGCAAAAATTCAACATCAAACCGTGACAGAATCCGAAAAGATTGACTACCCAACTTTATCATATCCTAATAAAATTATAAACGCGAAAGTTTGCAACGACGGATGGTTTGTTATTCTATCACGTAATAGTAATATAGCTTATACATCAGAATAACATATAGACTATACTTAAAAAAAATAGTAATACGTAGTTGAAATACGGAGCCAGAGCCGCGAGAAAACACTAGTATTATTTTACTAAATACAGTATTTTATCTAGCATTTTCTTCAAATTCACTTTTAAATTAATTAATTAATAGAAAGATTATTTGAATTGGTATCCCTGATATATTTAAGACCAACCTTTAAACATAAATAATTAATTAAAAACAGGATAAGGAAAATCGATTTATAATTGGAAAGTTGACGCGTAATATACACACAACATACTGTAAACTAATTGCGTGAAAACTTCTATATGAAGCTGTTTAAAACCTATTAGCTGTATATTATATTAATTTGAGTGGCTTTAAGACATATTGATTTTAATGGAAGATAGCTAGAATGTTGTATTAAATACTGTAACTTGATTTTTTTAAAGGGCAACTGTTGAGTTTCTCTTGGGTTGTTCTTAGCAGAACTGCTTTCCAAGCCGGTGGTAGCTTCCTCACGGACTGACTACACTGATGCACTTTAAATTACTATTGGCGATTTAAAAGTGCTTCCATCATTTTATTGATAGGCATAATACTTTCTTAGATTTACGCGAATATTTGACATTTTGAATAAAACTATCATTACGGATGTTTTCGCGGATTTATTAGGATTTTTGGTTCCCTACAACTGCTTTACAGCTTTCATGGTCACGGAAGAGACTGAGGTGTTAGATGTAGCGAAAGCATTGTTGTTGATTGACAGCCTACCCACAAATAACAAAATGAAAATTGCACCATTTACCTTACAATATTTTTTTACTTTAAACATTTTTATAATTTTAATTAGTTTTATAATTGAATATGGAATATTATTTATTTAATTTTTGCTGTTATTATTATAATTATTACAATTTTAAAAATATTAATTAGCAATCTATATTTAGTGTTGCTATTATTATATTTATAACCATAAAGAAAAATATAAAATATAATATTAATCATTTAAGCCATATAATTGTTCTATGTGTAATTTAAAAAGTTAAAATTAATTAATGATAATAATTTTAATTTAGTTTGCTATTATTTAAAAAGACAAATTACTAAGCAACACTATTACTATATACTTTTAAAGTCTCGTGTTTTTTCTCACATTATGAAGACACCTTTATATTCCTTTATGTTACTTTTATGTTTCTGTCACATAAAAATAACGCAAAGGAAATTGGCCAAAATTTTGGTTTTGACCCAATTAATATTTTTAAAATTGTAATAATTATAATAATAACAGCAAAAATTAAATAAATAATATTCCATATTCAATTATAAAACTAATTAAAATTATAAAAATGTTTAAAGTAAAAAAATATTGTATGGTAACTGGTGCAATTTTTCATTTTGTTAATTGTGAGTAGGCTGTCTGTAACAACTATACCTTCGAGATATCTAACACCTCGGTCTCTCCCGTGACCATGATTGCTGTAAAGCATTCGAAACCTCGGGAACCAAAAGTCCAAATAAATCCGCAAAAAAAATCCGAAAAGATAGTTTGATTATTCGTAGGCACTTAATTTTACTTTGCTCAGTAAAGGAATCAGTAATTTCAAACAACATTTTTAGATATCTTTCTGTATATCTATACATAAGTAGTGAACAAGTTATTATATCCTACATCTATGATATAAAGGAAAGAATAATATTTCTAAGAAAACCCCCGTAATACTTCATTTTATGAAACCAGCTAATGAAAATGTTACGTGCTTTGAGAGAGTAATTTTCCTATTCTCAAATATAAAATAAGTATGAATAACTTTCCCCCCGACTCTATTTACGTGTTAAGAAATTAAAAGGGCTTTTTATATCTTCAGAATAAAAAAAAAGCTATGTAAGATATCTATGATATGAGTGACATGTTCTTTTCCATGCTTTTATACTTAGAAATAAAAATAAAGTACGGCCTGTGATTTCCAAATAGATACCTCATATTCAGTTCACATAGGTATGTAGGTATTCACGCAGTACAATGCCAAAACATTTTAGATAGGTCTGACTGTCTGTTCGTAGCTGCTGATTACACAGCGGCTTAGTCGATTTTAAAGGATGTTTTCGTTTAAAAAATTTGGATTGAATTGATACAACATGTAGCTAATAACCAGTCACTCACTGCTCGCGGCCCGCTTGCGTTACAAGTGGGTTGGGGATAAAATATAATCTATATAAAATTATACATACTTGCCTAAATTACATAAAAATCAGTTCAACTTTCTAAGTGTGAAGAAGAAATAAACAGACAGAAGTTTTTCATTTATAATATTAGTATGAATCTGAGATGGCATTTGATTTAATAGCTAATAATTTTGCTACAATAACCTAATATAAAAGTCGTAGCGTACTAACAAATTAATCTCTAATAGTTACTGACAGAAATAAATGTGTAATATCGTCCCTCTGCTCCTAATGAAGACAGGCTAATGAAATTGATACGTGCCTGGATTATTGACGCCATTCTGACTCCTGGGGACCGACGGTAATGTTTGGTAATCATTCACAATTGAATAGAGACATTTGCTTTATAAATGCTTTACATAATCTTGCAATACTTTTGTGTATTCTATGCTATTTTGAAACCATTCTTATATTAAATAAGCTTAGTAGTACATTCTATCACAGTAATATACATTTATAGAAAAATCAAACCCACAAACACATTTATTATCAGTTATTATACGAGGTACACATGGCAAATGAGATATACTAAACCAAATTATTAAAGTGAAAACTATTATCAAACATGTCAATGCTTTGATAAAAAATAACATGCTTCTTGATATTGATAAAGAAGTTCGCTTTAAATGTTGCTATGAATTAAACATGTTCGTAAAATCTTGAAGCACTGAACGAGTATTATAACGTACGAGTTGCTATATCAATTAGTTACATTTTTTTCCAGCTAAGGTGTGGTTTTAATAAATCAAGCTCAGTCAATGCCTTAAAGGCAACTTAACAGTACACCCCATGTTTATTTCAACGCGCAACTAATATAGTCTGGAGCAAATAAAAAGTGAAGCAAAAACTATTTTATTTAATCTAAATTCACAATCACATTTATAATGCAATGACGTGCTAGGGTTGTCCTGCACGTCGTGAAGCTTTTCTATTTTGTAATATTTTCTTAGATTTACCCGAATATTTGACATTTTCATTAAAACTTTCGTTTTGTTTTTTTTCGCGGATTTATTTTAATTTTTGGTTCCCGACATTTCGAATGCTTTACAGCAATCATGGTTACGCGAGAGACCAAGGCTTTAGATGTCTCAAAGCTCATTATATAATTCGTGACAATGATCCCTGTATAGCATCTGAAACATTGAGAACCAAAAATCAAAATAAATCCGCGAAAACATCCGAAAAGATAGTTTTATTTAAAATTTCTATTTTGTTTCGTCAATTAATATATTTTTATTCTACTCACTTCAAAATCATCTAAAGTCTAATAATCTTTTATTACACAAACATTTATATAAAACAATTCACAATTACATATACAAAAAAGTCTGACGAATTGACGAATTACCTCACTCTTTTTGAAGTTAAAATAAGACGAATATAGAAGCAAAATAAACGAAATTTGAATTCATAATATAATGAATGATCAATATAAACTACAAAATAATAACGGCTCACATAATATTACCGTAATTATAATTATTTCAAGTAAATGTGTTATCTAAATTATTAAAAATGGCCGTTTCCTGCGAGAATATTTTTATGTTTTCTGACATGGAGATTATAATTATTATATTTTAATTAAACTTATTAAGGACAAGAAATTTCTACAATAAAAATAGGCAGATGTAGCAAATCTTATCTTGTTTTTTCTATTGCATATACATATGTAGTTTCAGGAATATTATCTTGTTAGTTATAATTCAGTCCTTTTAACTTCCCGCTGTTGGGATGCTGGGTACCGACTTCTAATCATATTGAATTGTTACTAAGTGGTGAATGGTACTAACAAAGTGATTGGTACTAGGCTGTAAGCCGGAAGCCAAGTGAAACTCAAAGTCAAAAGGTATATTTATGGTAGGTACCTATATCAATTTTATAATTATTTTTAATATTTTGTTTATTTTTCTAATTATTGCATATACGAGTACCTAGTTTGGGAAGTGGTAGAAATGGTATTATAAGACTGCTTATTTATAATATCATTTCCGCCTTCAATCTATCATCTGCACACTCCAAATATCTTATTCTTTAAGTATAAGTTACGAGACCTCAAATTTTGAATGTCGAAGCCTCAAAAGGAGTTAAATCTATTTCAAAAGTTCCGTGACTCATTTCGCCAAAGCTCTAATTATGTTCTGCGTGTCCGTAATTTCTGCAAGTTCGAAAGCTCAATTTGGCCGGAAGGGAGGGAGTTCGAGGAGACGTTTTAATTTGTTGCTCCGCTGCCCCCGGATCTTAGAGCATTACTTTATTTTTACCTTAATTATAAATACTCGGCAATATGCATTCAAGAGAAGAATTAAATATTTACTTGGTAGCCGCTTAATCGTTTACGTGTATTTATAGATGTCACTGAGAAACATTTCTAGAATTAAGTTATTTTAAACCCCTGGCTGATGTTTATATTGTATATTATACTAGCTTTTACTAACGGCTTCATTCATAGAGTTTATTTAATAAACTTAATTGATTTAATAAAATTAAAAGAATTTTTCAAATCTGACTGCCGACATATAATATTGTTCCAAAGATAACGCGTAGAAAACTAACAATTTTTTATTTTAGTATAGTAAAGATTTTGTTTATTTTTAAACAAAAATTTTACTTTAAAAAATAACAGAAAATTTTGTATGTTAAGTTAAATAATTAATGTAATTAAATGTCATGCTATCGGTAATTTTTACAATACTTTTGAAGATAGATTAAAATTTTATTTGCATTTTGTGTGATGTTTCATATCCTCTACACTACTGTTTCTAGAATATTCAAAGCCATTGTTTTAGTGAGCCGAACAAGCTATTGTTTCGTGAAAGTTTGCTTATTTTCGATCTCCGTTGCAAAGAGACATGCGACGCATTGTATACGCAGAAAGCCCAGGAATTACGTATCTTGACTTCTTACATAGATACTTCTACTCGAATATCTGAAGCCGATTGTTTTTAAATAGTAAAAAGGAAGACTATAAGAAATGTTACCTGGACCGGTTCATAGTGATTACTTTCTAACAAAAAGTTTACCAATTTAAAAGAAAACATCACTTTAAAGTAAAACTATATTTTATCATGTATTTTAATTATTATTATTATTGGGTCCAATGAATTTCAAAACGTTTCGAATGCTTTAGAGCAATCATAGTCAGTTATTTAAAATGTCAAATATTCGCGAAATTAAATCTATTATTAAGTATTTCTATAAAATAATTATTTCAAATCTAGGCACGTATTACTTTAAAGGATTTGTTTAAAATTTATATGGGATCACCCTTAAAGTTAACATTTTAATTAATAAAAAAAGAATTACGAAACTCGATTTATAATTGGCAGATATCGTGTATGTTATAATTAAAAAGAATATAGCAAAATTGAGTATTTCATCCGTTTTGCGGTCGGTAAAAAACTGAGAAGTAGAATTCAACGTCATACTTCTTAACATCCCATTCATATAAACCTACAATGTGTAAGTTTTGTGTTTGGTTGTCATTCCTTAATGTAGTAAACCGAATCAACGGATTTTTGTGAAATTCGAACTGCAGATAATTTATACCTTAGATTGTATCAAATATAGGCATTTTTACCGATGTAACTTTCACGACACCGAAGCTATAGGCGATACTAGTTGTTATTAATTTATCATAAAAAAGCTTCATTTAAATCCTTCTTATCGCTCTAAGGATTCAATAAACTTGCAAATAAGCCCACAGAAAGCAATCTATAACTTCATCTAATATATTCTAAAACTTCATCTAAAACACGAGATTAAATAAAGAAATAGATAAGTATCGATTTTTTTTCATTCATGTTCTTATTATACTGATAATACTCGTACAAAAAATAACGTTCTAATTAACTGAAATAAAACTTTATTCAAATAGACTTATTATAAGCACTTTTGAATTGTAAAGGAAAAATATACATCAATTAAATTGAACTGTTCCTATCATTTAGAACCATTTCTTAATGTAAGCATTTGTATTATAAAAACAAAACAAAGCAACAAGTTTAATGGAGAGATAAACTCAAAGCGGCAGATAAGAATCTCGGAGCCGACGACCGTTAAAGAAATAGCTCTTAGCTCTACACATGTTTACAATACAATTGTCCTCTCGGACGATGTACTGGCCATTACTCGGACGTGAATGCTATGGGAGATGTACGACACACGCACAATCACGTGGAAACTGCGCCCGACTAGAGTTAAATGGTTAATTGTCTATTTGAACACGCTTTTATTAACTTCACTTATAATTAAGTAACTTTAATCATATATTGGAAGTCGATCTTAACCTGCTCCTAAGAATCGTCATGATTTGAAATTGATTGTTAGTAAAAATACAATAAATTTTATACGACAAATGTCATGATGAATTTAGAAGTGGAATTCTACATTAAAACCTCCCAATTTAAGCTTATTTTTTTCTTACATTTTAGCGAATATTTGTCATTTTAAATAAAACTATCACCATGATTGCTGTAAAGAATTCGAAACGTCGTAGACCGAAAATCGAAATAAATTCGCGAAATAATCCGAAAATATAGTTTTATTTAAGCTTGTTTCCTTCGTTTTGATGAGTTTCCTACATTACAGTATTCCAAAACCATTTTTTTAATGTAATTATTATTATCATTGTTGATGACTGTAATGGCAGATTGAAGTAAGTATCTGGTAGACATTGGCTATAGAAGACGCGGGTTCAACTTCATACAAGATTAATGCAGAATGTATCTATACTTTCTATCTGCGTTGGAAAATCTTATATATATATATATATATATACTCATATGATATATGTATACTATAATATATATATAATTCCAAATATTGTTTTTTACCTGCTCGGGCCTCAACCCTGGCGGCACCCACGTGTATTCTTCCAACGCGCAGCCTGAATCGTCGTCGCTTTGTGAATGTCTGTGGGGGTCTCCTGGCTTCATAAGCCGTTCAGCATGTTCCAATAACCCTCGAAACTTCCCTTGAGGTACAGGATGTGGAGACAGAGACATTGCTGATTGAGGGGATTGAGGGGAGTGGTAACTCTGACCAGGTTGGTTTAACTGTGAGACACTATGACTGTGTAGAAGATTGAACTCTTGATATGGTTGACTTCTCCGAAAATTTGGATAGGAGTAAGGGTGAGGGGAGTTTGAGGTACTGGGTATTGATGATCCGCTGTGACTGGGCTGAGGTGATGGCAGGTGGGGTGACGCAGGTGCGGGTGGCGGAGGGGATGATTGCTGCTCATGAAGGGGCGGCGGTGATGAGCCCGTCGGTGATACCACGCAATTTCGACAGACTGGCCTGAAAATAAAAAAAATATGTATAAGTATATTAAATTCATAATATGTTTGAACTGATATACATATATATTGTAATGATAGTATCTTTAATTGCTTAGCATAAATAATATACGTCAAGCTAATAGATAAAAATAATACAAGGTTACTGTATTTTACCTTACTATACGCTATTTACTACATGTACCTATAGATTCAAGTATGGAAGGAGAAGGAAGGAGGAAGAAGGGGGTTATGTATGGGGTCCTTTCGACAGAATGTTTGAAATATAAATTTATACTCCGTTTTACTTTATAATATAGAAATCTTGCTTTAAAAAGCTATGTTTATAGTTATAGGAGAGATTTAGCATAAATTAATAGTACCAATATCCCGCCATGAATAGGTAAAGAGTACAGCTTGTTACTTGTTTAGTTATTCTGTAATGGTTGTTCGACAAGGAATATCGTAGCTAATTTAACCTCATATAAGCCCCTTGTTAATACATTTTATGGTATTTCAAATGCTGAGGCAAATTACAGGAAACCAGTCCTGACCACTTTCTTTCCAAGCATTTAGAAATGGTTTACAATGTTCAACGCTAGGCGCCTTCGAGTTTAAAATTAGCCAACTTCGCAATGCGTAGGGTCGCCCATCACGGCTTAAACGTAGAGGGTCTTTGGAAACGTATTTATATAAAACAATGTTTTCGGATTTTTTCGCGATTTTATTTTGATTTTCGGTTTCCTACGTTTGGAATGCTTTACAGGAATTAAAATAAATCCGCGAAAAAATCCGAAAAGATATTTTTATTTAAAATGTCAAATATTCGCGTAAATCTAAGAAAAAAAAGGGATCAACATTGAAGTAATTGAAATTAAGCAGAATTGAGTAGACTTAATAATTAAAAGCTAGCAATTGCAAACTATATGTATCAGTATAACAAAGTATTGTTTTATTGATCGACTTCAAATGAGAGGACGTACTCAGTGTCGGGATTTTTTGTGTGTATATTACGCGATATTTGCGCTGATTGTTGTTGGTCAAGGGTGACCATATATTAAATAGCAACTCCACCTTTTAAGGTGCTTTTAAAGTAGTACTTTTAAAAATATTTGAAATCAGCATATTATGTTTTTTAGTAATAAATAAATGTTTATTTCACGTTATTGTAATAAATATGTACTTATTAGATGACTCAAGTATATGAAAAAAATAAAAAAGATGTCTACTTGCTTCCACTTGTAGTTTACAACAGTCTGGCTGTCATGGCGTATCTTTAATATAAGTTATACTTCATCAGACATACTAATTTATTACACATCTGTTCTCACCGAATATATACAAAAAGTGTTTAGGGTTCAATGACCAAAGGGTTGAATGGGGATCTCTATCCATCCTATACCTTCTGTACATCCATTCGTATTTAATTGAATATTTTTATTATATTATATATTACTAGCAACTCACCCTCTCGTCGTTCGGGTTTGTTCATAGGTACATTTTGATCCTTAGCGTGGAATAGATAGACTTAATATAGAATGGGTATGATAAGTTTTAAATCCCTTACTTGAAAAGTGTTAGATTCCCCATACAAACTTCCACCCTAATTTTCACCCCAGATGATAAAAACGATGATTTCGAGGATAAAAACTTCTCAGGATCTCAAACTATCTCTATATTTAATTTCATCTAATTTGGTTCATCGGATTAAGCATGAAATGGTAACAGACAGACAGACAAAGTTACTTTCACACCTATAATATTAGTATGGATAACGACGATCGTGCTTAGCTGATTTTTTTAATCTAATAAGTAATTTATTACAAGATAATAAGCTGGCTGCAATACTTCCTATTCATATATCACTGCTACTTACATCCGCGGAACAAATCAATCATACACAAAGTGGCGCGTCACGATTCTTTATTATTAATAGATACTACAAGTACAAAACTAATGTCAGTAAAAAATAAATCTAGTGAAGCCTTATTCGTCATAAAATGCTTAAAAGCTTTTAGAATACAGATAACATAAGTTACCAAATTGCAGCTATATTTAGTTAAGCTCTAAAAGAAACAGTATATTATTATGTTCGCAATTGATGAAAAAGTATGGTGACATCCGGTACTTCAGATGGAAGTCAAGAGACTTGAGAGGTCTGTCATTTTCGGAAGGCATATAATGTGTGTTGTTTATGTACTTCTCTGATACCAGAGTAGATAATGATCCATCCCCTGGTTGTTTTGAAGGAAGGAACTGAGGCTCTTTAAAAACTATCCTCAGTCCCATGCCGCTCGGCAGGAGGTGAGGTTTACCTCGATAGGCTGGCCGCCCCATTAAAACAGGGAAGTAGTGCCTTTTTTATACGATTAGCACATATATGTATGTATGTATGTACAATGTACATATAAACATAAGTTAGTGATATATATACGTAAATACATTCCTAAGGTTAATTAATACAAAGGGTTTAGAGAATTTTGCAAAATGTATATGCGATTAGTTTATCAGTAACGTATATTTTACAGACCAAAATGCCTGTGAAAATACTTAGAAAAGTTATGTAATAGATTTTAAATACATCAGAAAGTTATTTAGTATATAATGCGTAGATTTTAATATTTCAAACCTTTGTGGAAACATCGTAGCTCAGTGCTGCTCAGATAGCGAATTCTTATTGCATTTTCTAATATTGTCAAGAAGATTTTTAAATTGAAGGCGTACTTAAAGTATCGCTGTTATAGCGTCTTTGAATAGTTGGATGGTCTTGAAAAGCCTTGTCAGCGCTTCTTAAGGGGTTACAGATTTACATTATAAAAAGGGTTCACCCTCGAAAGTGCATAAATGAAATGGTTTTAAAATCTATTACAAGGAAAATATTAAATGATAATTATTTTAGAGAGGCTTCTGTAAAGTTAACAAAAATGTCTTACTGAATTATATATCATTATATATAAGTACAATGGCATTAAAAAGAGTTTTTTGTGGAATATTACCATAGTACCAACACCTAAAACGCTGTGCACAGTGTATTTAGGGTTAAGCAAGTTTCCCGGGGGGGGTTAAGCAAGTTTATGAAAACTCAAAAACTAGAATAACTTAACATTGCATTTTCGAAAGGTTTATGTGTGTATTTTTTCATTCTTTTGGATTTTAATTACATTTTTCTGTTTTTGATCACTTGTACTCCATATTAATAAAACAAGTTTAGTAAGTGATTGATTTACAAATTATATTTTATCACTGTATCGAAGGCACGAGAGAAGGCGCGTGCAACAACTAGTAATTCAATAAGTATACAAGAATACCAGTCGCGTTTCTACATTTCACAAAAACTGCAGCTCGAGCCTGAGAAGAAATGTTGTAAGAACTAAGCAACACTATTTTTTATATTGCCGAGATAAACCGGACCTTAATCTATGTATGTTTGTGTAATCGCATTTCTAGAATGCGTGTAATTGATACACTAATTACTCAAAGACTTATGCAAAGTAATTGCAGGAAAGTTAGCTTATAAGGTGCTTCGAGAAAAGGAAGCGTTTAAAGTCATTAACCTGATTTTCCACCGGATATGAGTGACGTTCAAAAAAAATGTATGTACAAAAAACATATGCATATCCATGTGAAAATAAAATCCATATTAATAATAGTAACTTTGTCTGTCTGTCTGTCTGTTACGTTTTCACGCCTAAGCCGCTGAACCAATTTTAATGAATTTTGATATATAGATGATTAGGACCTTGGAGAAGGCTATTTTTTGTCGCAAAAATTAAATTTAAAAGGAGGGAAATAGGAGTTGTAAGTTTGTATTGAGAACAAAACATTTCTCAACTTAAAAAAATTATTATATAATAAAACTGTAGAGGTCGAATGTCTGTACACAGAAAAAAATATGCTAAAAACCGACAGTCAGGGGGATGCAAGAAATAGAACAAATCCAGATTTAAAAAAAAAACTGGATTTGTTAGAAACAGATAGCTGTTTGTCTATTTGTCTGTTTATACGGGTTAATCTCCGCAACTGTCGGACCGATTTAGAAAATTTTTTGCATGATAGTACCTTATATCCCTGGGCAATATTTTAGATACTTTCATTCCGGAAAATTCAAGAGTTCCTGTGGGATAGTTAAAAAACTATAGTAAATTATACAGCTTAGTACACAAAAAATACTGATTAGATTTTAATGAAATTTTACAATAATATAGTTCATACATCAGAATAACAATTAAGCTACTTATTATTCCGGAAAAATGTACGATTCCCGTGGGATAGATATGTTTGTGTTCGTCTTTCGCTTGTATCCTATAATTTTGGTAAGAAATTTGAAGATTTCAAGTTTTTTTGAAGTATACTTGTACCTACTTTTCTATACCTATGTACATATATATAGTCTATCTATTCCATACTAACCCTTAAAACGTACCGTACGCTTATGCTAGTCTTTATATATATATAATTCTTCTGTGAGTGTGTATGTCACTGAACTTCTCTCAAACAACTGGACCGATTTTGATGAAATTTTTTGTGTGTGTTCAAGGGGATCTGGGAATGGTTTAGATTCACAATTTGAATAATAATTTTCATCAAAAAAATTATTAAAAAAAGTTTGAAATTTTCAAATTAAAGACGTGTAGACAGGACAACGTCTGTCGGGTCCGCTAGTATTTATATATTTTCTGGTAATTCCTGTTAATCAAACTAAAAGTTAGTCCAATAACTATAAAAGTCTAGGTTTTTTCAATTAGTTAGTAATGTGAGTAAAATCACAGTTATTTCTAGTCTAACATCTTTAGAACATCGAATCTCGTCACGACTCGATGAAAGATTGCATCTCGGAGATCAATCGGCAATCAACGGCGGATCGCATGAAGGCAGGCCAATGATGCTGCGGTTACGACTTGGAATATTTCATTTGGATAATCATTTTATAATTGCATTTCATCTCACATATTTTGTTAATTGATATGGATTTTTATTTTGATATACAAGTTTGTATGCGATGTAGCCAGGCTTTGCCTTCACTTTCGAGGTAAAGTAACTTACATATTTATTGAAAGCAACTAGTGCAACACTACAAAAAGCGACTTATTTTACATCTACTACATCTATTTCATTAATTTTCCATTCACTTCATTAATTTTGGAGGATTTAGGGGTAAAACCTTTGGGATCAATCTTAGCTATGGGAAATAGATCGATGGACATAATAGTAATTGCTGATATTTTAATAATATTATATTATTACCTTATTTTGAAGTATTTTAAATATTGACATACTACATGTATGTTTATCACCTTATAGAAAATTTTCATTAATAAATCGTACATAAAATATTATAACTAAGAAATTAACTTTGACTATTTGTAATCTTTTCACGCCAAAGTGATGAATAGATTTCGAAATTTAAATTGGGGCATAGATTGCATCATGGGGATAGACATAAATTACCTTTTATCGCTGCCTAGTTAACTATGCAAGCAAAACCGCTGTCAAACGCTAGTATCTATATATGTTGTAAACATACATATGTAAGAAATTTTGAGATTTATTAGCTTAGATTGAACGGAATTGAATGCGCACGTGACCCTATGACTCAATGCTGTGTATATAATTACAAAATATACAAAATCTACAGCTATTTAAAACATTGTGCCATGTAATATAAAATTAAAATTATTCAATATAAAAACACATGTAAGTGAACCATGTCTACATATAGACATTCTAATCGGACGTGAGGCGCGTACAGAAGACGCAACGGTTTGTCCCGAGTCCTGGCTGCGGCCGCACAACGACCTTTGTATTATTCATTTGATTATATTCAAGCATGTATTTGTCAGACACCTAATTCTCAGACATGTTACAATAATTATATTATGATTCAACTAAAAAAATACTTTAAAGTAATTAGCACCCTTAATGTTACAGCTTTGGTTAAAAAAGGTGGCTCTTAGTAAATAATAAAAAGTGTCGTGACGGTCGAAACATTCCACTTGTTTTCCTATCTCTAGCTCTTATTCACGAAGTTTGCGGAGTAACGTCTGATAAGGATCCTGGTTCCAAATATTAATTATGGTAGATACTCAATATTTATATTTATACCCACTTTATGACCTATAAATTTAAAAAAATAAATATAAAGATTGATTCATAATATCTATATATGTCAATTGCTGTTCGTAAGTCTCGCTAAAACTCAATAACGGCTGGACCGATTCCAATAACTCTTTTTTTGTTTTTTTGGTGTATGTCTGGGGTGGTTAAAAATAAAAAAATAGGGAAAATAAAAAAAAAACTGCCGGGAATTCGAAAAGTTTAGACATGTTTATTTTGTAAGGGAATCACTAACCGCTAAAACGTACCTAGCGAAGAACCTGAGCAAAGCGAGGGTGAGTCACTAGTAGAACATAATTATCGTGATATGATAGTGATGGCTCTTCATTTCCCTTAAATTACGATAACATCAAAAGCTTTGTACACGATACGACGACGTACTGCGTACTGACATAGAATGCAGACATTTTCACGGCTGACATAATTAAATCATGTTTTTAATAAGTATGAAAATGTACGTAAGGGGGCACATTATGAAATTTATTATATATATATATATATATATATATATATATGTGTGTGTGTGTATATAATTATATGTTTTGGCAGTATACAAACGATATACTTCACTACCACTTTGGTAGCAAAAAAAAGTCATTATTCATAGTTACTGATTAGCGACCGTTACAGCCACATGTTTAATGAGAACTTTGTTAATTATTATTCATGTAATGGCATATTATTATTAGAAGCTGTCGACGTTTCTTTTGAACAATAGCGTGGTGTAAGTTTCGTCTTAATTATATGTTATAGATAGTTCTAAACCTACTTTTCCCATACTCTGTTATTAGATGACGTTGTGTTATGTATATAGACATGTGTTCAACATTTTTTCTAACTTATTTTGAACGTACATATTTATAATGTACATAATAGCTTTCTGTTTTAAATTATTTTTTAATAACATACATGCATTTTTATCCTGTTTTTTTTTACTTCAATATCCTTTTTTTGTACTGCTGATTGTTGTTATTTGCTCATCCTGGCCAAGATATCTATAGATTTGGCTTTATGGACTGAAATTTTCGAGTAAAACAGTATAAGAAATCCAAAGATAAGTTATCAATTTTAGTCAAAAGTAAGCTGGAACCTAGAGTTTGATTTGATGTAAAAATTGCACCCATGAAATGGTAGACTGAAAATAATTAAAACAGCAGTATAGTAGCAGTATAGTAGTAGTAAAGAGTATCATTAATATCTACAGACATTTACGTATATTCATT